AGGGTGACGTTGTGAGCGTTCTCCCCCCAGCGCCAGGGGTAGACCATGAATTCGCTGAAGCCCGGGCTGGTGGGGATGGGCGGCGGAGGCGGCGGCCCACGGGCGGGATCCTCGCTGCCTCCACAGGACGGCTTGACCGGGGTAGTCTTGATGACCGAGACCAGGACACGCTTCGGGGAGTCCGCTTGGCACAAGATCACGGCCGGAGGGCCCGGCCGTTCAGACATCCTGCTCCAGAAGTCGTGGCTTCTCTCTGAGGCGATCCGGGGCCGCTGGCTTTTCCTCAGTGTCCGGAGGGAACACCTCTCAGGTTTGCATGACGGAGAAGCTAGAAGGATCCTTCAGAGAGAGAGGAACTGTCCACAAGCTGGCTCCAGCGACCGCGGCCTTTCCCCCCCACATGCGACTCGCCAGCCGCAGCCCCAACCACCGCCACCGAATCCTAGACTTTCCCGCGTTACATTTCGCGCCTGGGCGGAACCAATCATTAAAGCTGGGGCAAACGTCAGGAGCGTGAGAGAGCCTCAGCCAATCACCAGGAAAGAAAGCCCCACGCTCGTTGGGTTTCAAGGCGGCTCGCGGGGGGGGGAAAGAACGCGCGGGGTTGGGCTTCGCCGCCTCCGCGCTCAGCCATTGGTGACCGTTTCCCGAAGCCAGCCAACAGAATTCGAAAGTTTGGAGGGGAAGGGCGCGGGACGGCCCCCCTCCCCACCAAGGCCCGCCCCCAGCTTCCCTAGTGAATGACTGGGGTCCGTTCCGATTGGCCTTGGAGCTGGAAAGGGGGCGGGTCCCACCGCGCTGGCGGTTAAATGCGCAGTAAACAGGGAGAGAGAGGGCGCGGAGGGGTGTGTTTGGCGCGTTATTCAGCCTCCGGCCTATCGTTAACTGTCAAGGCCGGTTCCTCGCCGTGCTGCGCAACTCGCTTTCTCATGTGGTACATTTAAAGAGCGGGAGTGGCAAACAAGAACCCGAGCCAAGAAAGCTTTCAGTTTGGAAGGAAGCATTACGAACAGACATTTCCCCCGCCCCAATAGGCGCCTGGTAGAATTCGGTGCCCTCCCTTGTGCTCCTTGTTAGTCGTAAAGTCCCCCATATTCGCTTGCATCACAATCCCATATACTGTACTTGTTCCCCCTATTCTCGCTTAGTCTTGGTCTTTCGCCTCTTTTCCTCTGCAGATTGTTCGGGGGGGGGGGCCGACACACCTTGAAGCTGGCGTGGGCGTCAGTATACTCCTAAACTACAACGTCACAGAAGCCCCAAGCCTGCCAACTGCCTCCTGTTCTATCGTGCCATTAATTTCAATATGAATTCGCTTTCTTAATCATCATTTTAGTATAATACTTTCAAGTGTTCAACAAGCAGCACAAGCATTGTGGAAGCTGAAATTCTTGGCACACACAATTTAGTGGGTCTTTCTTATAAGCAAATACTGCATGCTTCTGTAAGTGGGCACAGGGAATATTGCCTGAGCTTAACCAAGTTTTGAGCGAGTGAGGACCACTGACGTCTGTTAGATTAATTTATGAATAAGCATACTAGCACTACAAATGTGCAGATATCGTAGGTTAAGGGGGTGTCTGTCCTGCTGTCTGGTCCACTGTGGGGATGAGGTGGTTCACTCCTTTTGCTGCCCTACTTGCAACCTTCTGGGTCCCTGTCAAGGGCTACTGTTTTTTATTCAGTACAGTATATCCATACATAAGAAGAGCCCTGCTGGATCAGGCCAAGGGCCCATCTAGTCCAGCTTCCTGTATCTCACAGTGGCCCCACCAGATGCCTGCATAATTTTATATGTCCCAATCATGTCCCCTCTCAGGCGCCTTTTCTGTAGACTAAAGAGCCCCTAATGCTATAGCCTTTCCTCATAAAGGAGGTGCCCCAGCCCAGTCATAATTTTAGTGGCTCTCTTCTGCAAATTTTCCAGTTCCACAATGTATTTTTTGAAGTGCAGCGACTAGAACTGTACACAATACTTCAGGTGTGGTCTTACCAGAATCCTCTTTTTAAATTATACCTAGCATGGAATCCCCTTTTTAAATGATACCTAGCATGGAATACTTAAGAGTCCAATATTTGATATTTGAGAGTCCCCTGGACTGCAAGGAGAACAAACCTATCCATTCTAAAGGAAACCAACCCTGAGGGCTCACTGGAAGGACAGATCCTGAAACTGAGGCTCCAATACTTTGGCCATCTCATGAGAAGACTCCCTGGAAAAGATCATGATGTTGGGAAAGTGTGAAGGCAAGAGGAGAAGGGGACGATAGCGGATGAAATGGTTGGACAGTGTCATCGAAGCTACCAACATGAATTTGACCCAACTCTGGGAGGCAGTGGAAGACAGGAGGGCCTGGCGTGCTCTGGTCCATGGGGTCACGAAGAGTCGGACACGACTAAACGACTAAACAACAACAGCATGGAATTGGCCTTCTTCACTGTTGCCACACATTGGGTTGACACTTTCATCGAATTGTCCACCAACACACCAATATCTCTTTCCTGATCTGTCACAGACAGCACAGAACCTAGGATCACTCTGTTTTGGTTTGTTTCCAGTGTGTATAATCACTGGGATTGAACCAATGCAGAGATTGCTACTTTAAATTTCCTTTCTATTTCCAGTTTCCCAGTATCATTTTATGACTTAAGAGGACAGCTTGGCCATTTCGCAACATTGAGTAATAAAAAACGTATGCTTCTTTCTGGAGGAACAGAGGAAGGAAGCAAAAGAGTTTTAAAAATGTCTGCTAGAGCAGCACTGATGCACTGTACCTTACAGGGGGGAAATTGAAAGCTTACCAGAAAAAGAGGAAGAGACAGGAGGGGGTGAAGAGGGGAATTTGTTTTGTTTTCTTTGTTTTTCTTAAAAAAATAGGGTCACTGGAGATGCATTTGTCACATGGATACTAGGATCACACCAAATGGCATAACGGATCTCTATGCAACCTTAAGTGACTCTCCAGTCTGTTCCAATTGAGCTATTTAACCAAACCCTCAGTCGCAATAGGGCATATGAATGGTATAAGGGAGTCAAATGCATGGCCCAAAATGTGTGTTTTCAAAAATGATTTGGAGACAGTGAAGTGGCATCACACAGATTCTGGGAAGCAATTCAAAGCATATAGGGCAAAGGGTGAAAGGGCAAAATCATTTATCCTAGATTTAACTCTCCCTTACAAATATGATCAGGTAGAACATCAATATCTGGAACGGAATCTTGAAATTTCAGTGTAGCCACATGATTGATGTTGGCAAATTTCTATAGTGGTCTGTTGGTTTTGGACATAAGAAGAGCCTCAGTGACTAAAACTTAGAGGAATCATTAATTTACTATTTATTCAGTGCTTAGAAGAATGTGGGAAATGAAGACATATGAAACTGAGTAAACCACAAGTTCTTGCTGGGTGTGAATTAGAGATGGGCATGAACTGCTGGTTCAGTGATTTGTACCAGTTCTTTTAGCAGCCAAATAGGTGTTTGATGCCTCCTCCAGCAGGAGCCCACTCAGAAACAGTGTCAGGAGGAGGTGGGTAGGGAAACAAGGTGACTGGTCTGAGTGGGTACCCACTAGAAGAGGTGGGGCTTTGAAGCACCGAACACCTGCTTGGCTGCTAAACAAGCAGTTAATGCACATCTCTAGTGGGAATATTATAGGTGCATTGTCCAGATATTATGAAGAGAAGATTTAATTCTGTTTTAGACAGAGTAGAATTGTGACTAGTCAACAAAGCTAAGGCAGGGCCAGCTGTGTTAAATCCAAACCCCTCCCAACATACGGATGGTGGAAATTATTTAGGACTAGCTGGCTGAACCTTGTTCCAGATCTTCCCTTCTCTGCTCTTTAGCCGGCAGAGCACTTCTGCTGGTAAATACTCAAGATCAGCCAGGAGAAAAGGATTCTGCTGGCTTAAGGGCACTTCTGCATTAGGGGATTTTTAGCAGCAGAGGAGGCTTCTGCCTATTTTAACCCCCCATACCTGACACATCTTTAAGTTCGGATTGCACTGTAACTGTCTACTGACTCTTACTATTTCAAACATAGTGTGCATATATGCTTGCACCCATTTGTTGCTATCTGTATCTTATCACTCAACATATATTTAGGCCAGACAAGACATTTTATTCTCTGTTCCTTCCCAAAGTCAAGGTATGCCACACCAAAGCTTGCTAAGTTATTTGTGAGTCAGTTGTGGGACTGACTGGCCATATACTGTATGCACCTATTCTGTTACAGAGAGAGAAACCTGAATATTTTATTCTCTCTCACTTTGTGTGTGACTGGTGGGGTTATGTGCCCTGCTACCCATGTGACCTTGGGCAAGTTGAACAGTCTCAGAATGCCACCAAAAGGGGGACTAGTAAACTACTTCTGAGTACTAGAAATGACTTAGGAGAGTTGCCATAAATTGCAATTGACTTGACAGCACATTACTATTGCAGTATAATTGCCTATGCAGATATGGGGACAGAGTTGGTATCTCAGTTTATTGTAGAGAACTACTGATCCCCAAGTTTGTGTCTCTGTTAATTTCAAATGCTTATCTATTTCTGCATGTACAATAAAATGTATATCAAAATATTATGGTACCTTTATGATTAACAGATTTATTTCAGTATACTGTACACTTTTGTAGATCGCAATCAATGAAAGACCTAAAGGTGCTGTAGTACTTTGGTTTTTGTTACATATTATGTTGTGTAGAATTCATATATCAGATACATTCTTATTCCTATTTATCATATTTATAGTCCATCTTTCTACTAAGAAAGATCACTGAAGGTGGCTTACAAACTTTTTAAAAGAATAATAACAGATAAAACTACATTAAACTATCAAATTAATAAAGTACATTTAAGCAAAATCATTAAAATTGCAATGGACACAGATTAAAAACAGCACAGCAGTAAACACCATATGTCATCTAAAAAGATGTGTTTTTCTGCCTTCTGAGCATCAGTTAGAGTGGAAACAAATCACAATTTAGAAAAGAATGCATTCCATAGTCTGGAAGCCACATGGGAGAAGGCCCTTTTCCACAAGCTTGTTAGGTGGGCCTTTGAACTGTTGGTATTTGTATGAGAGTGTCTCCTGAATATCTTAAAGTCTGGACAGGCTGATAAAAAGACTGGCAGTCCCTCAGAAAACTAGGCCCCAAGTTATTTAGGGCTTTAAAGGTTAAGATGGATACCTTGAATCGGGCACAGTAAGCAATTGTCTACCAGTGCAGCTCTTTCAGTATTGGGGTCTCATGGCCATAACATTCAGCAGTTAGCACCCTACCTCCTGCATGTTGCACCAACTGGACCTGCATCAAGGGTAGCCCCAGATACTGTGCATTGTAGTAGTCAAAATGTCACTAAGGCATGGATGACTACTGTTCAGACAGGTCAACTCAAAAAGGGTTGTAGCCTGGTACACTAAGCGGAGTTGTGTGAAGGAATTCCTTGTTCACCATGGTCATCCAGTGACAAAGAGCACTCCTAGACTGGCAAACGTGACTTGTCAGATGAGTATGCCTCCTTCTAGATTCTAGAATATGCTGAATTCTAATTCCTAATCTTGGCTTTCTATGGCCAGCAGTAAAAAGACAAGATTAATATTGTGCAGTGTAAACCACAGAAATTTATCAGTTAAGATCCAAATTCAAATTCCTACTCACCTTTGATGGGGATGGAGCGCAGCTCAACAAAATACATGCTTTTACATCTGTGAAGTTCCTGGCTAGAATGTAGTAGCAGCGCTGCATGGGACTTCTTTTTGCAGCTGTAGGGAGGTGCAAAAACAATATGAAGAGACCACTGGCCTAATGGCAGCATAAGGTTGTGTTGCATGTTCATCTTTGCGTGTCTTCAGACCAGTCACTGTATTTGAGTTTTACCTTACCGAGTTATAAATGGACAGTGAGGGAAACAAAGCTATACACATCGCTTTGAGTTTTTTGAAAAAAAAGTTAAGGACATGTGACCCTCCAGCTATTGTATAATAATCTCTCATTATCCCTAGCAGTACAGTATAGCCAGTGGTGAGGACTGACAGGAGATGCAGTCTCAAAAGAGGGACCTAGCTTCTGCATTCCTGGGCTAAAGAATGCGACTTATAGATTTGCACTATTCGTTCCAGTGTGTTAATTCCAGTTTGTTTCAAAATAGTAGTGCACACTATCAAAACAAATCAAATGTATTTTCTAGGTGGAGATCAGATCACTCTAAATTATAGGCCAGAAAGAAGAAGTCAACTACTGTAGTTTTATGTATTTCCAAAGCAGGACACGTGACGCCACAGACGCTCTACATCATTGCCGAGCGGCGTGGGAAATTGTGTGAGGAGGGGATCCCGCGTTTTCATTGGTCGGCTAAGACTGAGCGGGCCGTGCTGATTGGTCAACGGGTAAATGTCGTCGGGTCTCATTATTGGGTAGGGCAATGAGGAACAGAGAGCGTGGATTGGTGGTCTAAAGCAGGCCGAGGGCAGAACCGCGGCGTCGATTGGGCAGGGAAGTCGGACGGGGCGGGCGGAGCGGCCATGGCGTGGTTACTTGGGCCGCGCTGAGGGACGGTTCCTTCTTTCTGTCGCATTCGGGAGAGGGTGGCCGCCGGTGGTGCCGCCGCCACGGCGAGGATGAAGGGCGCGCTGGCCAGCCCCGTGGCCGCCGCCACCCCCATGCAGGAGAGCTTCGGCTGCGCGGTGGCCAACCGCTTCCACCACCTCCTCGACGACGAGTCGGACCCTTTCGACATCCTCCGGGAGGCGGAGCGGCGCAAACAGCAGCAGCAGCAGGGCAAGAAGCGCGAAGAGGCGGCCGTCTCCGCCGGCAGAAGGCCCGGCCCTGGGGGAGCCGCCGGGGCCGCCACGGCCAAGCGGGAGTCCCAGAAGGAGCGCAAGAGCGCCACGTTCCTGCAGGGGGAGAGCTCCCCGGCGCCCGGTAGGAAGCGGGAGTGGGACCGGGAGCGGAGCGAAGGGGACCGGGGAGGAGTCGGGGGGGAGGGACGCAGCCTCTTCACCTGAACGCGGAAGTCTCGGGCGGCCGAGGCTGCGTGGAAGCAAGTTCCCGTGATCTTTGCGGGCTTGCTTGTGAGTAAAAAGAGCCCCGGGCTCCGCGCTGCCGGCGCCTGGTGGAGC